AAAAATATACCAGCATAATGATTATACCCATTATGCTGAATGGACCAATCACAAAAACACTAGTACAACTACTATATGCCAAGGAAATGGATGTTAGACATCTCTCTTCTTGACTATGTCATAAATGATGCAATTTGAAAGAAGTTTGGTATTACACCACTAACCTAAACATACATAAAAGGCAACATCACTAGTTTGGACATGTTCTCCAAGCAGCTCCTAATACTGTTGCAAATATTGCTTACTTATCTCAGTCATCAGTCTCTTACCACTTGGAAGACCAAAACAAAAATGGCAAGATACAATCCATTCAGACAGATCTAAAGGCCACTCATGCTCATCCAGATGATATACAAGATCAATACAAATGGCAATCAAAGATCCATAATATATCCAGACCCTGCTCAGGCCAAACAAAAAAAAAAAAATGATAACAAAGACTAATGCAATAACTGTATTTGAAAGTAAATTAATTTACTGAAAATCTAACAATGTTATGTATATGACCCAGTTTTACATCACAATTGACAGTAATTTCCATTTATGTGAAGTTTGGGTTCTGTGTATGTCTATGTAGTGTTGCACATTCTGGTTTTATTTTATTATTACATTTTTGAAAAATAATTCAGATAATCCAGTTTCAAATACTTAAGTTTCTACTGTAATTTTAAAATATTCACACATTAAGTTTCATGTCAGAATTGAAAAAGTAAATTACCAGTATTTGGTTAAGAGGATACAAATTATAAGATACAGTAATTTAATTTGTATTCTTTCACCCAAACAAAATCATGCTTAGCCAATTTTAGCCAATTGCACATCATTATTTCAATTATATATTCTTAATAATTAAATTGTTTTATTAATTTACTATTTCCAAAATGGAATTAACTGAATATTAAATATGTTGGGTGTTTTTGGTGATGGACTGATTTCTAAGAAATGACATCACAGATTCATTTGATAAAATAAACTTTTATGGTCATTTAAAAGAAATTTGCAAACTTCATTTCTTATAATAATAAATTCAGCAGTATAACCTGCTAAAGCTCAGTAAAACTTCTATATAGAGTTAATCATAATAAATTACTGTACAGTATATCCACCTTGTTTTTGGCATCATCACAGAAAATACCCCACTAACTTGGACTTTCATAAACTCAGAAAATCTTCACTTTGTATTAGTTTGAGTTAGTGAGATTACTGTACTGTACTTGTTAAAAAAAAAAACATTAAAATCTTTTTTCATAAAAAAACTCTTTATTAAAGCATTTTGTTTATTAATGCTTTACTTCTTATATAAGATATGCAACAAACTACACATATACAACAAAAACGGTTCAGCAAATGATTGATACTCTAAAATGACCTTTTAGAATATATAGTCTCATATATTGAAGATATAAGAATTTAAATTAATGAACTGTATATTTCCATACAGAACAATATTATACAGTTATACAACAATATACAGTTAACTCACATTAATATGAAGCACTAGGGAAACAGTAGTTAGTTTGCTTTATAAAAATTCATATGAATAATTTTCAAGGTCAAGGTTGTATAATTTAGGGAGTTAAGGCTTATTAAGCAATCAAAATCTCTGAATTATAATATTTTGAAATAATTTACTACATAAAGCTAAATAAAATTAAATTTATTTACAAAAATAATGTTCTAAATAATTTTCTAATCAAATAAAATGAGAAGGAAACTATTTGCCATTTAAATGTGGAGCAGCATATCACAGTAGTTAAACAAAGCTAAAAGAAATTTGTGATTTTTCTGTTGAAGATTGTTTGAAAAAGTAGAAAATATTTTTTAGCATCAAAAGAATAAAATAAGTAGCCAAACTTGGCATTATGTATTTATTTCCCAATATGCAAACTAGCATATGTTTGTATGTGACCACATCCATTTAAAGAGGTGGGCATCCTTAAACTTTAACCCTTATTTTCTGATTTTCTGATTAGTAAAATGGTCCACTAAAACCAGATGTTTGAATTGCTCTACAATCAAAGATTTGTTATCCTCTTTATTTACTGATGATAAATTGTATGTGAATTGTTTACAGTATTTTGTTAAAGAGAAGTGATGTTAATAAACTTTTTGCATTCAATTGAAGATCAAACCTGCCCTTGCTTATTAGGAAAAGAAAATCTAGTCTATTCAAAATGGAACATTTATTACAGTACTACTTTTTATTGTTCATGTCAAAAAATGTAAAAAGCAACCATTACTGGAAATAGAGTTGTTTATTGGGAGGTATGAAAGTAATTTAGTTTGATTTAATTAATGAATTCTGGTAAATTTTTGTTTGCTTTATTGCTTGAAAATTAATGTTGTGACAATGGCATCTTGCCATGGCAACAGCAAAATTTGCTTGTTTGTTTTAAGATGAGTCAACATATTTTAAATTTATTGACTGACAATTATAATTGCATAAGTTTTCTGCAATATCATTTGGTTTTTATTGATAAGTAAAAAAAAAGTTTGACTACAAAATTATTATCTGTTACAATCATTATCTAATGATATATTTTTATACTTACAAGCTTTAGGCAGAAGAGTATTAGTGTATGAAATGCCACACTGTGCTACATCCCTGTATATAAATAGCATAACTATAACCTAAAATGTTAAATCAGTCTAAAAGACAACGGACAACTTTTTAAACAAGTGAATGCAACTTTAATTCATTTTACAATGATTTTAACTAGAGAAAGGTAAAACAAAACATAAAATTATAAAAAACACCTCTTTGTAAACAAACAAATTTTGCTTAAATAACACACAAAGTCTTGCTGAAAAAAGTATTTAAATTCATTTAAACAAACATTTTCCACTTTTTTTCATAAGTCTGCTCAGGTTTAGCAAGAAGATTGGTTTAAACAAGTTCTAACTGTTGAATCCTCTTGTTAAACCTGATGCAAACTTATGAAAAGAAGTGGAAAATGTTTGTTTAAATGAATTAAAGTCTTGCTGAAAAAAGTACTTACTGTGTTGTTCAAAACAAATTTACAGAATTCAAAATTTCTAATTTATTAAAGATATAAATAAAAGACTATATATTTCATGTCTTCATATCTGCTTGAATATATTTTATATAAAGTACAGCTTTAAATCATAATTTCTATATTACAAACCAACCTAGTTCTACATATTCATTATGAAATATCAGATCCATGTAAATATTCAAATTTATACTTTATCACTTAATGAATAATGATTATTTTGTTAAAATATTGATATTATTTCAAAACTTTTAACACATACGAAATTCAAAGTTTTTATTTTCCAATCGTAACTGCTATGCTTTCAAATTATAAAAAATTTCAATAAATTATATTTTACAGCATATAAAATGTGACATTTGGTATTAAAAATACCTGCATCTTATGTGTAAAGTTGCAATCTCCCACAGGCTAATGAATTCACCAAAGACCTTTAGTAAACTGCAATAACTTCTATCTAACCCAACCCTTGAATAAAATACTATTGTTTAATTAAACAACATATTGTAATTATAATTTTATTAGTTTTTGTTAGAGCTAAGATGCTTTTGCATGTATTCATGTAGAATATTTTAATACTAAATTACTGCTTTTAAACTCCTGCTTTTCCCTGATAAATAAAAGTAGACATTCTGATTTTATTATTATTTTTTAAATCAGAATATAGTAAAACCAAAAATTTGATGCCAAGTGCTAAAGTAGGGATGGCATAAATATATCAAATACTTTTCCCTAAATATTTTGTGCTAAAATGGAAGTGCATCTTATGTCATAAAATACAGTAAATCTAATATGAAAAGCTCCAAAAAAATTCTGAAATGAGAAATTCTGTACACAGCTAAATTTAATAAATTTAGTTAGAATTCTTGTTTAGTTCAATGTTAACCTTCAAATTACCTTAAAATATATAGATTCAGTGGCATGTGGTGACATTTGATAATAGGGAAGCTGTGCCAGATCCAGATAGAATCACTGAAAGTGTTATACAATATTTTGGTGTGTAGCATCCACCAGCTAAGCTGCAAGAAGTTGGTGCTCTGCAAATCACATGTGCAAATGCCTGTAATCTGGCTGCTTTACACAATTCAAATATTTTGGCTGTGGAAGCTATCCTGTATTTGACAATACAGTGCTTGCATTGTGAATATGCATATACAAATTTATATTTGATATTAGAAAATACAATAACAATCTTATCATTTTTCACATGTAGTATAGAAATTTGTAATAAGATACACAATGTGATTATAATAAAATATTAATTTTAAGTAATTCAAAGTATGAAAATAATCACATAATATATTTATATTTTAGAAAATATAAGGGAAGCAGCATTTCCACCACTTCCATGGAGTATACAGGTTAGCCACTGTATAGATTAGCTACAGAAATTATAATTGAATCCCTCCTAGCATTGAATTGTGTTATATATATATAATAAATACATACATACAAATTATTCTTACATGTTAGTTTCTTAAATTAAGGATCATTAACATAGATTGTACATTAATGTTGATACATAAATTACAATAGAAGTATAACAGTAAATATAAACATTAAAATGTTAAGCTGTGATAATAAATATATTAACTTTTTAAATCAGTATTTTTAAAAAGTCATTATATTCATTTCATAATTAATAACTTCAAAATATTCTTTTATTTCACAATAACGTCAATGTTTTTAGAATGAAAACTTTAATTACAACACATTGTTAATACATTAATTATAAATTAACAAATGAAATTTATATACATTTACGCGTGTGAAATCCTTAAGGTACAGTAAACATATGGATTTAAATTATCCATCGCGTTATAGAAATTAACATGCAATGCATAATAATCTTCGATTGCTATCAAATATAGTTTCTCTATCATCCAAAATTAAGATTAAATGCCCAAATGTTTAGAGAAAACCGGAAATATGGTTAAATGACGCAATTAGGCTTATCACATATGGCAGGAAAAGTCCGATTCTTACCTGTAATAATACATTCCTGATGAGTGAATTAACAGAAGGCCTAAATATATCGGATGTGCCTTGAAAACACCATAATACGATACCACTTTTACTGAAAATAGTAAATAAATCGAGCATTTTTGATTCCTGTCAGCAGACCATACAATTTGTAAAATACCAGACGATCTTCGTTGTAACTAAAGACGCCCTCTTTAGAGTTTTATTCAGAAGTGGAAATGAAAAATTAAAATATTAACTAATTTTCTGGATCATTTCTTTCTTAATAGTAATAATAATAGTGATAATTTATTTAAAATTAATATATTTTATTATTTATTTAAAATTAAATTTTAAGATTTTTTTTACAATCAACCAGTGCTAGTAGCAGTGTTTACAGCGCCACTTTTGAAAGCTCGTTGAAAAGAAATCCGTGACAGTTTCAGGATGGAAAGCGAAACATACCGTAAGGTATAATTATGTCACATTTTTGTGCTGCTATCAATTGTACCAACAGTTACAAGAAAGGTTCAGGAATTTCAAATAAGATGTAATTATTAAGTTTGGATAGAAGCTTTATACATATCAAATTATGAATTTTAGAGTAGTTAACATCAGTGATAAGTAAATCAGATTCCATTCTTATGATAGTGAAATTTAAAATAAAACTTTTTCTTTCTCAGGTTTCCACTCGCTGATGAATCCCTTCTCAAGAAATGGATTATACTAATGCGACGCAATGGTTGGAAGCCAAACAATAATACTAGAATTTGTTCATCTCATTTTGAAGAAGCATGCTTCAGTTATAATAATTGTAGAAGATATTTACAACCAAATTCTGTTTCTACAATTTTTTCATTTTCTTCACATCTTCAAAAAATCCCTTCAATAAAACATTCAGGAAAAAAACGAACATCTAAAGACCCTATTTCAAAAGTCTCTAAAGAAAAAAAATTGCAAAAAGAGAATATGAAGTATCAGCCTCTCATGATCACACATATTGTTTTCTGTCCTCAAAGAAGGTGCATGAAATGTTAATTTTAACATGACAGAAATCTGAAAGAATTGGAAATTAACTTTGATTAGAAAATTTGAAAAACTGGTTTTATTACCCTTCAACAGAAGAATTTAAAGTTTATGCATTTCTTGATGCAGATCATATGTTGAAATTGATGAGGAATCTTTTGGCTGATCTTAAAGTTCTAAAGAGTGACAATGATGGCAGAATTATTATGAGGGCTGTTCGGAAAGTTTGCGGCCTTGCCTATATGCGGCGCTGCGATCAATTTAATTTTTGGCGGGAATAATTCAGCCATCTGTGCTAGAGATATGATACCAATTTCCGCTTGATTTGTCAAAAAGTTTTGCCACAACAGCTTAGCAAATAGTCAGTGTGCACATGCTTTGTCAAAAATGGAGAAGACGGAGACTCGTGCGGTCATAAAATACCTGACGAAAAAAGGGTTGACCCCATCTCAAATTAAAGCTGACATGGATGAAGTTTTGGGAGAGTCTACTCCTTCGTACACCACTGTGAAAAAATGGACAGCCCTTTTTAAATCTGGCAGAGAGAGAATGGAAGATGACCCTCACAGCGGACAGCCATCAACTGCTGTCACTGAAGAAAATATCGACAAAATTCACGATTTGTTATTAGCAGATCGCCATTTGAAAACACGTGAGATAGCTGAGACAACAGGCATCTCTGTCGACTGAGTGCACCACGTCCTAACCGAAAATTTGGGTATGATGAAGGTCTCAGCAAGGTGGGTGCCGCGTCTGCTGACCGCCGAGCAAAAACGTGTTCGCACTTTGATGCCAAAGGAGTGTTTGGACTTCTACCAGAAAAACCCACAGGATTTCTTGCGTCGGTTTGTGACTACTGACGAAACGTGGATCCATTACTACACTCCTGAAACAAAAGAACAGTTGAAGCAATGGAAATACCACAGTTTGCCACCACCAAAGAAGGCAAAGACAGTTCCATCAATGGGGAAAGTGATGGCCTCGGTTTTTTGGGATGCTAAAGGCATCATCATTATTGACTACCTAGAAAGAGGAAAGACGATTAATGCTGTCTATTACTGTGAACTTTTGGAAAAATTGAAGAAAGAAAACGAAATAAAAAGGTCACACTTGAAGAAGAAAAAGGTTCTGTTCCACCACGATAATGCACATGCAGATTCCTCTAGAATCACTGAACAAAAGATAAACGAACTTCACTTCCAATTAGTTACACATCCACCGTACTCACCTGATTTGGCCCCCAGTGACTTCCACCTTTTTCCAAACCTAAAAAAATTCTTGGCTGGAAAGAGATTCCACTCAAATGACGAAGTCATCTCTGAAGTGAACGAGTATTTTGCACACCTTGACAAATCGACCTATTGTGATGGCATAAAAAAGCTAGAACATCGCTGGAATAAGTGCATTGCTAACAAAGGAGCCTACATTAAAAAATAAAAAAATTTTAACATTATTTTGTTTGTTGTTCTATTTGAGGCCGCAAACTTTCCGAACAGCCCTCGTAAATGGCAATATTTTATTCAATTATATAACGTACAGAATAAAGACGGTCTTCGTGTCTCAAATAAATTAAAATCATATATTGAATGGTAAAGACAAAAATGAAGATAAATATAGCAGCACAGATATTAAGTAGATCTGTAAGTAATGCTTTTATATTTTGTAAAGAAAATTGCATAGAAGACTTTAATAATGTTGATGCAACTGCTGAATTCACATTGAACATAAATGATATATTTGACTTGCTTAATTCTTGTCATCCAATGGGGAGATGGACAAAGAGTCCAGTCACGAACAGAAACAAAGACCAGTGTTCAAAAATTATTAATGAAGAAATTGATTATTTCAGTAAACTGAAGATTGTAAAAGCTGTCTATTTCTTAAAGGAAGAAGAGAGATTCTAATAATTGGTCTAATAATTGATTTAAAAAATTAGAACAAATAGCAAATCAATATGTTTGGAGTAAAAAGCCATTATTAAATTATCTTATAACAAAAAAAAATTCAGCGTTACATCATATTGAGTTATTTTTTTCTGCAATTAGAAATAGAGTTGGGTAACAACAATTCCACAGCATTGCAGTTTAGATCAGCATATAGGAAGTGTTTGTTAGCCAGTTTCTCCATCTCCAAAAGCTAATAGTCACTTGAACTGTTTGGAGTGATGTCACTCCCAACAAGATCGGACCACAGCAAAATGGAACTGTGTTGTCTACAGCAATGAATCCAGATTCAGTTTGAGCACTGACAATGGCCATGTTTGTGTCTGGAGGCTCTGTGGTGAATGCCTCAATCCTGCCTACACTTTGGAGTGGCACCCTGCCCCACAGCTGATAATGGTCTGAGTTGCTATCACATATGACAGCTGGTCATCTCTAATAATGATATAAAGGACCATGATGGCCCAGCAGTATGTTAGTGATTTCCTGTAGCCACGTGTTGCCTTTCATGACAGGGCAACCAAGAGCCATTTTCCAATAGGACAATGCTTGACCACATACAGAAATGTTGTTATAGGACTGCCTCCATCACATTGCCACACTTCCTGGCCTGCCCAGTCCTGATTTGTCACCAATATCAACCAATAATGTCTGAGATCATCTGGAATGCCAAGTTGGACAGCCTAGGAGTTTGGCCAAAGTAGAGAACTGCTTGCAGCAACTGTGGACTGAGATGCTGCAGGACACTGTATTACACCAGTATGCCTCCATGCTGGTCCATATCACATGGTATATTTATGCTAGAGGTGGCCCAAGAGGGCACTAGAACCTCCTTTCATTTATAGTTTTTCCTTTAATAAATGATCCTTCTATTTTCATTTTGTAATCATTTATATCACCGTTACACATACACACACACACAATTTTGTTCAATTCCGACAACTCCTTGATGTGCTAATTTTTATGGCAATGAGTATTTGTTTAACAGGAATAAATTTATTTTTAGTAAATATGCCAGAAGCAGAGAAGCCAAGTTTTATTAATTTTAATTATTATGGTTTCTGTCAAAATTTCTTATGAAATGATGATGATGATGATGATAGAATCAACCATTTAAATTTTGTTTTATTATGAAAAATGATTTTTAAAACTTTCAAAATAAACATTAATTAGAAACTAATGTAAAACTTACTATAATTTTCTGCAAGATGAGGATTTTATATACTATAAATTGATCTAATATTGAGAATTTAGACAGTGAAAGAGTATTTCTGAATTGAATACTTAGCATATATAGTATGGCCACAAAAGTTTAGATATACTAGTAAGCAGTTGTCTGCATAGGACTACTCTCCTTTATTCTCTGTACAAATTTTAATTTTCTCAATGTTCTTTTTGACCTCATGTTGACAGTTGGAAGCCTTTAATTAAAACAGGCTTTGATAATTAGATATCTGTAGCTCTTTCACTGTTGAAAGAGCTACAGATACAGATATCTAATTATAAATGCTAAGGCACTATTAAAATAAAACAAATAATAAAATGCATAGTCTTATGCTTACTGCATCTCTAGATATGGTACATCAGTTTTTTTATCTCATAAAATATGTCCCTGTATAAAAATTCCATAAAACTTTTGTTTTCTTACTTTTCCACTTAATTTTAATTATAGGCAAACTCAACAGAATATAAAAAATGCTACCATAGTTAATATTTATTAATAACTACTGCTTATTTTTATAACTATGTACTATTTTGAAAAAATACACAACTAATTTTATCAAAAATGGAATTTTACTATTATTAGCATAAGCTAAGCTACAAGATACATAAGCTACTAGTTGGCCAATTTGGAAAAAAGATAGGAGAATCTGCACTAAAACTGACTATAAAAATCAGGCCTGTTCTCACAATTATGATTATATCAACAATCATTCAGATAAGTCAGTATGTTAACATGCAACCCTTGATCAAGATTTACATTTACAGCTGTTTAGGCCAGTGATTTTCAACTAGTGTGCCATGAAAATTTTGAAGGTTATTAAATAAATTATTTTTGAAAGAAGCCCAAAGAACGAAAAGTGTGTGCCAAAATTAAAATATCTTTAAATTGATTACAGTATATGAATTTTTCATTGTTATAATAAATAAATGTACACATAATGTAGTAAAAAATACATATTCATAAGCAAAATTGTGTGTACAACACTGAGTTATTTTATTTAAAATGGAATTTTCTTTAAATCAAAAATATACAGTACCTATAATTGTCCATATTTAGTTCAAATTATTTTAACTTAGAAGTAGCCAGACGTTGGGCAGGTTTCTAAAGACAATTATCATGCTGCTTTTAAATACAAATCTCTTATGTAAATGAAAAGTGTTAATTTAAATAACTTGTAATCTGCTGCTGTTTTAATTCATAAAAAATAAATAGACAAAGTGAATTAAGATAAGTGGCAAGTAATATGATGATAGAATGTTTACAAACACAACTTTAAATCACATGATCTTATTCCATGAAAATTTAATTTAGGTTCAAGTGTACTGTGGGATAAAAGATTGAAAAACACTGTTAGTCTAACAAATAATGCCACATAGTCAATCATTACTGCTACTTAACAAGTTAGAATAACAAATCATGGGACATCTTAACATCCAATTATCCTTCTATGTGTTTTCAGCCACTGCTATTGGATAACTGCATTGTAATCTCCCAAACTGTTCCCAAATTATGATGAGTTTGCTGAATTTTAACCAAGTTCATAACCATGAAGACCGTTTCAGGTGAGAAAAATCATACTTGAAAATTTGAAATACAGTATTAACCACTGTTAATTAATAGACTCAGTGCAACTAAAGTAAAACTCATAGAATAAAATTTTTGCAATAAAAGTTTTTGATGTAAATTTTCAATTAATGTAATGTAGCTTTTATTTTTAAATAATTTCATAAATTCTTGTTTTAGGAGAACTTTTTCTGAGCAATTTGGATTAGAATATGTGAGGTGTTCATGATCTTTGAAGAATCTGTCTGCAAATAATGTTTGCATATTTTTATTTATTGTCATGTTTGCATGTATAAAGTATTTCATTACTTATTTTTACATTTTGTATATACAAGACAGATATAAGTACAGTACATAAAGCATTCAAATAGATATTTTTTGTAAATACATTTTTATTAAGCATATTATGTTTACATTCTATATCATATATGAATTTAAAAATTATAATTCAATAAGTTATTTATGCATGTGTAGTAACATTATAAATGATTCTTTATAATCAAATAGAAAAACACAAATATATAAACATTGACTTTTTAAAACACACAAAAATAATATCAATTTCACTAACAGTGTAAAATTCTTATGATAAAAAGCAGCATTGTTCTTATTATTGACAATACAATTTACTTTATATAATCTGTTATAAAATATGGACATTGATTTAATTCAATTGCTATTTTAATAAGTTTCTATTTAAATAATTTAAATTTCTTTGAATTGTGATAACTGCACTAATAATTTACTGGAATGAATAACCCATACTTGGTGCTCCTCCACACCATAATGTGATAAATTTCAGTACATCTTGACACTCTGCACTGTGAGACATTTTAGCTGCCATCAAGAATTTATTCCAATCCTCTTTATTAGCAGCTTTACCTGGTTTACGAAATTCTAATTTATTTCTGAGGACAGGATACCCAGTTATAACACATGGTGGTGAGGCATTGCCTGTATTTGCAGCAATTAATGATGCCTCATATGTCATTCTTTCATCTAATGGTAAAACCTGTTCGACTCTCTGATCCATGGAAATGGCTAAAACCCATTCCTTTACTTCCTCATGTTCACTTTCATTAAGATACATATTTTCAGGTAGGGGAATTTCAAATGGTATATCTGTATCTCGAAAATCTGAATGATCTAAGGAATTTAAGTTACCTTCCTCAATGGCTTCACATATATCAAGATAATGATTCCAAAATATAAATGTCATACTTTCCCAATTCATTGTTTTAGCAGATAGCCCAGCTTCATAGAATGCTTTATCAGCAGGAATTATATCAATATGACGTAATAAAGAAATTGACAGTTTAGCTGCTTGTTTATCTAATGATGTTTGACCTAGACAAGCTGAACGTACAGCATAATAATGAGCTATTAACAATAATACCTCAAATTCTGATTTTTCTGGACCATCTATTTTTTCAATATTTTGATACAAATCAAATATTACATCTCTCAGATCAGCCCAAGTTCGATAAGACTCTGCATTATTTAAATTTTTTGTTAATAGAATATCGGAAACAATTCTTCTGTATATATTATAATTTTGAGAAAATGCCGGTGTTCCAAATCTAGCATACAACTGAAGAGCATGCACTGCATTATCTTCACGAATTAACTGAGTTGCATATTGAGCTACATATTTATGAAGTACTTTCGTTCCCTGTTGTTCTGCCATTTCTAAACATTTAGACCATTGATTCTGTTCAGCATACATATCCAAAGCAGCAACAACATCAATACTTGCTAGCTGATCAGTTTTCCCTTGGGTTCTTAAAAATGCTTTATAATGATCATCTACATATTCTTCAAGTCTAGGTTCAAGTTCTTTAGCAACCTTTTTAGCTTTACTCCATTCCTCCCCAGCCATAAATACATCTATTGCTTCTTTTATTTTATCTATTCGTAAATACATTTCAGCTGCAACACTGAACCTTTTAATCTCAATTAATCGAGGACTAACTTGTTGCACAACTTGTTCAGCATGATGGACATCTAAAAATTTAAAAGCGATTTCTGCTGCTTTGGTCCAACATTTTTCAAGCAGATCATTATTAGATGTGTGGCTTGGAGATACTCTCAGGTAGCATTCTACTGCTTTGTGGTATTGTCCCATTTGTTCCCATTCTTGAGCTTGAGAAAGCAGTGATTCAACATCTTTTGTACTGCTAGAAGACATTTCCTGTTCATATTCTTCTTGCAATTGTGGTAATCTATTTGGGATGTAATCTTTACAAACTCTAAGTGCATCACTCCACAAACCAGCATCTCTATATAACTTCACAGCCATTTCAGCTCTCTGTGCTCGTAACAAAAGAGATTCTGCTCTCTGACGATCACCAGCTTCAAAAGCACAACGAGCTTGGCCTACAAGAACTTCTGCTACAGAATCTTTATGATGAGCTTCAGCTACTCTCTGAGCACTTTCCCAATCTTGATTATGCACGTACATAAGAACGGCTTCTTTTGGTTTTCCAGCCTTTATGAATTCAACTTCTGCTTCTCTAAACTTTCCTTCATCTTCCAAAAACATTGCATATCTTAAGTGAATATCAGGCAACTTATGTTTCATGGCAGTGCGAGCTAAGTCAAAAGCAAATTCAAAAGCACAATTTTCACTAGCATATTCAATTGCACTTTCTAATAAGCCAAATTTAGTTAATAATTTTACTGCTGAATCTCCTCCAAGAGTCTTTGCCCATAAATAAGCAACTTGTTTAGCAGCAATATTACCACCATGATTTTTAGCAATCCTATATGCTTCTTCCCACATTTCAATATTCCTATACATATTTACAGCTGCTTTCCAATCATTTGCTGAAATGTAATGTTGTTCTGCTTGTCTGTAATTGCCTTCTCCTTCAAGTTCTTTAGCAAGATGAAGATGAGCATCAATCAACAAATCTGGATGATACTGTTTTACAAGTCTCATCATTTGATCATATTGCCTAATTTTCTTATACATAGTTATAGCTAAATCAGGTTTATTAACAGCTATGTACAATTTTTCTGCTTCTCGATATTTTAATTGTTCTTCTAAGCTTTGAGCCTGAGATACATACATACGAGTTACTTCATCAGGTTTAAGGAATTGACTAGCAAGCTTATGTGCTCTTTCCCATTTTCCAGCATTATTATACATTTCTACTGCTTCTTTAGTCATTCCTCCTTCAACAAAAAAATGTTCTGCCAACTCATACTCCCCAGCTGATGAATAATGTTGACCTAATTTTTGATAATATTTTGTTACTGTTCCAGGATCATCAATTACTTCTATTATTTGAACAGCTTTTTTCCACTGACGTGCAGAAACAGCAGCATCAAGTGCTTTCACTGTTTTTCCTGCTTCTATGTAATGATTAATAGCTGCTTCCAGCTGCTTGATTCCTACTAAATAATTACCCCATTCTTCTTCTAAATGAACAACTTCTTCTGGAAATGCAAGTCTAGCAAGTTCAACAGCTTGACTGTAAGATTTCCCCATTCGATAACATTCTAAGGCTTTTGGATAATTATTTACTTTTTCATATAAATTTCCAGCATGTTCAAAAAATTCTCCTTTCATTAAAGCTGATGCAATTTTCTGTACTAGTTGTTCATTATCAGCTAAACTTGGGACAGATGTAACAAGTCGAGAGGCTTTAGCTGGCATTCCAGCTTTCAAATATAAATCAATTGCTCCTTGATAGTCACCACTTTTTTCTTTCATTTCACCTGCTTTTTCTTCCTGACCAGTATCTCTAAGCCATTGATAATAGTTTCTGTAAAGATTTTCTAATTCAGGATGATTCCTAGCTTCAGCTAATTCTACTGCTTCACTCCACTTGTGTAACTGTTTATACATTTCCATTGCTTCTGTAATATTATTTTGTTCTAAGAAAATTCCTTCTGCCAATTTGTAATGTTTATCTAAAATGGCCATTTTAGCTCTCACTTTATAGAAGTCATATCCATCTCCATCCATAAGTTTTGAAGCATCATCTGCAAGTTTTATTGTTTCTCTTAAATATCTTGCTTTTGATATATCACCAACTGCAGCAAAGCAACATTCAGCAATTGGCAATGCTTTATTCATTAAAGCTAAATTTCCAAGAGTTCTCCACATTGCTTCTGTTTCTTCTGATAAAGGTAATGTTTCAAGATAAGACATGGCTCTATTCAGATCTCCATCATCAATAGCAGTACCAAATTCAATCAATCCTTCATCCAAAGTATATGTCACAGTTGTAACACCTTCATTAACTATAACATCTGTTCTTCCCTCTGCTCTTTCTAAATCAATTACTTCTCCTTTGATAGAAAACATTGTCACTCTTTCTGGAGTATCAATGTTGTACCACACACATAAATTACTTCTGTTTTGAGCAATAACTACATCACTTCCAGGAACCCACTGAACAAATGTACAATAATTTAACATAGCAATTTTTTCTTGACTTTCAATATCAAGTAAATTCAATCGTTGTCGCTTATCTCGAAATAAAAGCTTTCGCCCTGTTTCATTTAATTCTAACCAGTCAATTTTAGAATCATGACTTATTTGAGCCAATGTTACTCCAGTCATGAGATCCACTACAGATACAGTCTTTAAATCAATAAGATAAGCCAACTTTTTATTATCACTTCTTCCTTTTTGTTGTCTTTCATTTAGACGAACACTAATTAAATGTGGATTCATGAATTCTGCTCGTACTGATCCTAATATTTCATTATTACCATACTCAATTAATGACAACTCTCCTGCATTAAAAATCATGCAGACATTTTCATTATCAAAATAAAATTTTTCATTACCACCCATACCTTGCCAAGGAACTTCACTCAATTTGTTATTTAACATATCACCAACAATTAGAGTAGCTGTGGTATGGGCTACTATGTAGTTATCTTTACCTAATATTTTAATATTTACAATTTCATATGCATAATTAGATTTAAGTGAAATTTGCATTTTTGAACTGAGACTTTTTACAATAGCTTGACTTGGCCCAACATATGTAATTTCAAATTTATTATTATATATAGTTTTCTTTAAACTACAGTCAAAAAGTTCTACAGTTCCACATAATGTTCCAGCAACCAGTTTGGATCCATCACGCTTCCAAGCAAGTGTAGCTATTGTGTACAAATACTTAATTTCTTTAGGACGAGCTTCTTCCCACATATTTTTTCCGGGACTCCAATTAAATATTCTAAGTCTATCATAACTTCCAATAACAGCAGACTGTCCACTCGGACTACAAGCAGCCACGGTAAACTCATGTTCTGTATCATCACGGCTGTAATCAAACTGTTGTCCAATTTTACCATCTCTTGTATAAGCTACAATTCTTTTATCACAACCAGCTACTATAATTGACTGAACAGTCCATGTCAAAGCATATGGCGAGCACGTATGAGTCAATATTTTACCCTGAATATCACCAATTCCTTCATCGTCAAAATAATATCTCACTACAGATCCATCAGCATGACCCGAGAGAATTCCTTTTCCAGAAATATTAGTAGTTAATGACACAACATATGAATCTGTTCCATAAAGCGTAGATGATTTATTGGTTTTTACATTTGCCACTCGTACTTTTCCATTAGCTAATCCATAAACAATCGGCCCTTCGGATGACCAAGTCAGGCATGTAACAGCACTCTGTTGTATAAATTTATTACAAATAACTTTCTTTTCACCCCAGTCTTCACCAATTTTATACACATAAATAATATTATCAGTTTGTCCTACTGCAATTTTTGTAGAATCAGGAGAGAATGCCAAAGCTTTCACCATATAACTCTTCTTTCCGTATTTTGAATCTATAGGCTTCGTAGAAAATTTATCTCTTCGCTCACCGTGTTCGTCGAATAACAGAATCACTCTTTCGGCCGTACAAATTGCCAGCTTCATGTTGTTCGGAGCCCAGGCCATTGCCATAATCTTTGATGCTCCACTTTGAGCTGGTAGAAGTGTCTTTAGGTATTTCAAATGCATATTTATATGTATAGAAATAAATTAACAATAAAAACATGTAAAAAATCAAAGGCTTTGAAGAGAAAATCGAAAAGCATTCATATTTTTTACAGAATTCATCGTCGTTTTTAAAATCCTATGTTTTCGTGTTAAGTATTTCATCACAATTTCAAGTTCGAAGCAGACAAACTTCGTTCAAAATATTTTCATTAAACATGCGCGTGACCAAAACAACATGGCGACCGGTTGCTAAGCAACACTAAAAAATACTTAAATCTCTAAATAATTTATTACAATTAGAAAAAAACGAATTATTACGTTAAATTTAATACAATATATTTATATATAAAAAACAAAAAATAATATTTTTTCATAAAATTGAGAACATTTCATTGGCGTGTAGCATTAATGTTCAATTAAAAAAAAATTTTTTTAATAAACTTTATTGAATTTAAACGTTTTAATTAACGTTGAGATTAATAATAATTAATTAAATAGTTAAAATAAATAAAACTTATTCGATTGTATTCTGAAACCGTCGATCGAGAGTATGGCGCAACATGGCCGCAATGTGTGAAGCAGACAAGTCATTAAATTTCAACTCCGTGTATTATTTTTAATTAATTAGAATTTGTCAGTTAGGGATTATATAAATTATAAATGCCCACTAAAGGAGAATTACAACGTCCGGGTCATTTAAGTCTACAATTCTGCAATCAAGAAGTAAGTTTTTGATTTTTCTTCTATTATATCAGGAAAATCCGATGAAAAACACGAAATCATTTTTTAATCTCTTCTTAATAAATTGAACGTTGACGTCATAAATTACAAATTAATCAATTTCTTTAAACGTGTTCGTATATATCTCAGCTTAATTCGGAAAGAATGAATGGATCATAAAAACAATAAAAATTCAAATAAATTTACTCAATTTTCTTTCATAAAAGACATTATTTTCTTAATTATAAAACATTGAGAACAATGAAGGCATTTTTAAAGGGTAAAATTTATTATTATGTTCTCTTATAAAGTTAATTTATAATGAATTCAAGATCTTTAACCTATTTACATATAATTTGTTATCTTGGATAATATAGTTGCTTGGGTTATTTATTTTCTGTGAAATTTGAGTTGAAAGTAGTAGCATTTTTTTATAAAGAAAACAGTTGCTTGATTACAGTTTCCTCTGAAATTCTTTATCATTTTTCATTTATTTAATTTATACTCACAATTGTAATAATGATTTATTCATTCTGGCTTTTAGAAGAAGCATGACAACTTTGGTAAATTATCCTTACCATTTTTTCAATTAGATATTAGTAATTTATAACTTTTTAGATGATCATAGACATTGGCTATTAAGAGTTAATTTACTCAATACTTTAAATGCTTGTTGATAAAGTTTAATGATAAATGAAATCATAGGATAATATTTGATGAAAAAATCAGATTTAGTGTTGTATATACAAATGATTATTTTCTTAGATATTTAAAATTTAATTTTAAAATATTTTGATTTCTCTGTTTTGTGATTGGAATGATCTTTATCTTAATAAAGATGAAATAATTGATATATCAAATAACAATATGTGTGTAGAAAGTCCCATTATTACTATATGTAGACTTTGATGACAAACATTTTATATTATTGTAGAAATATAAGTATGATAATGTAATAAATATTCTAAAATTGAATTTTAGTACAGTAACATTTCAAATATTTTCTTAGTTGTATCACTGATTTTAGATAAAAACCAGGCATGAAATTTTCAGAAATAACTATTATCATACTAATATAATTAATTATTAAAACATTGGTCCATAACTTGATAAAGTACAATGATGTTTTCAAATGTAGCTTAATAAATATCTTAAATCAAATTTAGGACCTAATTTGAAATTTATCAAATAGGATTAAATTTATCAGATTTTTCTAGACATTATTTTTGGAAAATGCCTATAATTATTAAACACTATGGTACCAAGGCCATCGAAAGGAGGGGGAGTTTGGGCTTTTTCCTCAAGCTTGGAAAAAATTTATAGGGGTAAGAATCATCATGAGCCACTAAGTTAGTACAGTTGTCCCTTGATAATCCGACAGGTATGGGACCAAAGGTGTGTCAGATTACCAAAAGTGTCCAGATTACCTAAAATAATTACATATTTCGCATTGTTTTGCTAGCAGTAACTTACAATATTCTCTACTCCAACTGTTCGAACAGAACTGCTCACATAAAACACACGAAATGTGTGTCATCGTGTAAAAATTGGATGAAGAGATTCACATCGCGACATGCTTCTGTGCAAGCAGACACGTAACGGGGACGGGTACCTTGACGGGAGGTGCGTCGGACTACTGAGCATGTCGGATTAAAAAACGTCGGACTATAGAGGGACAACTGTATTTTTGTTAGTAAAAATAACCTTGTCTTTAAGGCTTGATTGTACTAATAAAGAAGCATCTTATGTATTTCATTTGTTCAAAAAGAAAATGGCAAAAGTGGCCCACTTTAACTTGAGTTCTTGATGATCCTATGTGATTATGATACTGATGTCTTTTTATTAGATGGTTTAGATAAAATTTCATGGCAAGCTTATTGAATTGAGAGTATTACAGATATAAACATACTATTAAGTTACCAGATTTATTAACGTAGTGAGTTCTGCTCAAATGTTAGGTTAGTTTTGGCTATAAGCTATATCTAGCCACAAAAACTTGGTTTTGGAATAAACATAAACAAGATTTTTGACACTTCACTGTATATTTTAAGCATTTATTATTAAAATATTACATACAAATGTATAATTAAATCATTATTATATAAGTATTAATAAAAAATTTTATATGTTTTACTTATTTACTAAATATACACGTAATTAACTTTCTAAATGATATTTGCAATTTGTTTGTTGTAAATTTAAAATAGACTCAATAAGTTTTTATGTAAAATTATTAAAATCTATAACATAAGTAGCATTGTTAAATAGTGAAAAAATATGTTCTAAGTACAATAATTTGAAATTAATTAGTCAATTTTGTCAATTATTAATAAAACTCTAAAATAATAATTCTAATTTTAAATGTTTATAATTTATTAGCCATCTCATAGTTGGACCGATGATCTACCTGTATGTCCATTTTCTGGAGTAGGTTACTCAACAAATCAAGTTTATCGCAGGGATGGAACTCCAAGTGAAGAACATGAATTTGAAGACAAAATTTTTCATGTTCGGTAAGCAGTCTTATTTGAATTTAACACAAATTTTCACATAAACTAGTAAATTAATCTTAAAAAAAGTCACATTAAAGGCATTTTTGCCTAAAATCACTCAGCTTCAATAGCATTGGTTTAAATCTTATCTTTTTAAAGTTGTTTTGTGATTAACACTGAGAGTGACTTTTTATTAATTAGTTTAAAGCAGGTTTACCTATAATCTATAAATTTACTTCAAAGAACTACAGCCAGATTATAGCTAACCAATGATTAAACAAATTAAATTAGTCTCAGGATAGCCTGAATGTAATGTGGCTCTAATAGTTTGAATAATAAAAAATTTGGGTTGGCTTGAATCAATATACAGAAAATTATTAATCAAAGAATTTTCTGTAAATAGATTGAAATCAACTTAGCTTTGTAATTATTAATATTTAAAGGTTAAAAAAATTTTAAAATCATAATATATAATAGTGTTGCAACGAATAGTATATTCGGCCAGGAGCGAGACCGAATATTCGGCCAAACTATTCGGCTCGATTAACGCACTATGAAAATTGGCTCACAAACCGCATTATGGCAAGGACCCTGCTCTCTATTGGCCCGCTGTCACTACGCTTCGCCAATCGCATTAATTCTTGACAGTTGTAGCGGACAGACAAGAGCGTAACGGCAGTATGTGATAAATGATGATATCAAATGTGGATAACAAGGAAATGACCTACACGTGTAAATAACGGAAAAAGAACAGAGAAGGCCCACGAAGTGAAAATGTGAAAATAAATATGAAATTGAGTTGATAACATAATCGAACAAGTCGAGGCAGCTTATTGGCGCGAAATTTGCGGCCGTCAATGCCAAACAATTGTCATAGACTTCAAAAAGCTAAATGCTTGTAATGAAAGTCACTTAGTGTGCACGGGCGAAAGCCTGGGACCGTTCGGGCTATCAAGCTGTCTCGAATATGTGACATATACCGACATAATAACTGTGACATATACCGACTCCTATCTGTCTCTTTTCTCCGTTATCACCAGGCTATGAGTCACGTAATTGTAAAATGGGAAATCTACGACGGAAAAGTGACGAATCGAAAGTATCGTGAGCGCGTATTATATAGACTAGAGCGATAGAGGAAAAAGAAAGGGAAGAGCGCTTAAAAAGAAGGATAGGCAGGGTCAGACCTCAGATGTGCGACGATTCTCGAATGAATAGGTGTGTACGCGTGCTGATCTTTGTAATTATAAATTGTGAATACATGTGACTAATATTATTTTCTTTTTCATTTTGTGCATGTTATAAGTTATAAATAAATATAAACAAACAACACTAACCCGATAACATTAAATCTAAATACCAAAATGATTAATTTACTGTGTTTTTGTTATTTCTTAGGTGTTCGGTATTCGGCCGAATAGTGATTAAATATTCGGTATTCAGCCGAATAGCGAAAAATAGGCCGAATACTGAATAGTAACCGAATATTCGTTACATCACTAATATATAACCTATATTTATGCATGCAATCATGCAATAAGTGAATTTTATCTGCATGCATAAATAAAGGTTTAAAATTTTTTTTCCGTTGTAGTAAATCGCTATATTTTATAAGAACTCTGCACATCATTACAAAAAAATACCTATTTCTAATTTCAGAACAAAACACAGCAGTATTTGCACTTAATCACTGTAACAATTCCTATTAAGTTTTAAATATACAAATAAACCACATGATAAATTTTATTTAAATTAATTTATCTCAAAATAAGTTTTTGAACAAGTTACAAGAATTATGCTTTACATATAATTTTTTCATATATTATTATTAATAACAGAATTGGTTTTTCATTGATCTGTAGAAAATAATCCTAATTAAATCATGTAAAATTCTCATAGAGCCTCTTATTTTACTCAGTTAAGTTTCTGTTTGTGTTTGATGATGATGATGATAATTCATATTCACAATCTTAATATTTGTAAATTTTGAGTTTTATTCATTCAATAATCATGAAAAAAAAATTTTAGTAAAAAACTGTTTTTGTAATGATATACAAATTATTAGAAAGATCAAATACCATGGTAATAGATCTTTCTAATAATTTGTAGGTTCTTTCTAATAATCTCTACTATATACATTTTATATATATCATACTTTTCCATGGCATGTATTTATATAGAATCCAGAAGTTTATTTCTGAGAATAAAATGTAATTAATTGTTAATATGCTCTTGCTAAAATATGTATGTGTATGTATGAAGCAAGAAATAATTGTTTTGCTAGTATATTAAATGCATTTTCAGTTACTTTGATGACATGTTTAATTTTTTTTGAAATATTTAAACAATGCCAACAAACTAACTCTAGTGCCTACAGGGTGGAAAGAAAGAGTTTTCTTTACACCTATTATAGCATTAGTCAGGCTAGTGATGATTTAGTGAGGTGATAAGGGATGGAGCCGAACATATTGGAACAGACTACCCATGAAAAATTTCTATGGTTTTCATCTGCTCAGATTCAATCCCAGTCCCCCAGAACAGTAGGCTGACACCTTAACCACATTGGCCATCCAGCCATTGATATGAAGAGACTAAAAAATGCAACATTCTAATACAGCAAATTACATTTATTATTTGTATCTTTTTAAATCTTATTATTACTATATAAAATATTGTTAGGGAGGGACTTGAAAAACTCACACATGCAACTGCTTTTTTTTTTTTTTTTTAAATTACTCTTTAGTTTTATACAGTAGACCCCCCCTATAACGCTTAGATACGTTCCACACTAATCGAATTTTACGTTATAGGAACGATTAAATACATGATCCAATCGCAGCCCGATAGGTGGGAACTTTACGGACTAAGGCTGTTCGAAAGGTTTTCTTCTATAAAATTAACCGATTCTAGACTANCCGGTTGCTAAGCAACACTAAAAAATACTTAAATCTCTAAATAATTTATTACAATTAGAAAAAACGAATTATTACGTTAAATTTAATACAATATATTTATATATAAAAAACAAAAAATAATATTTTTTCATAAAATTGAGAACATTTCATTGGCGTGTAGCATTAATGTTCAATTAAAAAAAAATTTTTTTAATAAACTTTATTGAATTTAAACGTTTTAATTAACGTTGAGATTAATAATAATTAATTAAATAGTTAAAATAAATAAAACTTATTCGATTGTATTCTGAAACCGTCGATCGAGAGTATGGCGCAACATGGCCGCAATGTGTGAAGCAGACAAGTCATTAAATTTCAACTCCGTGTATTATTTTTAATTAATTAGAATTTGTCAGTTAGGGATTATATAAATTATAAATGCCCACTAAAGGAGAATTACAACGTCCGGGTCATTTAAGTCTACAATTCTGCAATCAAGAAGTAAGTTTTTGATTTTTCTTCTATTATATCAGGAAAATCCGATGAAAAACACGAAATCATTTTTTAATCTCTTCTTAATAAATTGAACGTTGACGTCATAAATTACAAATTAATCAATTTCTTTAAACGTGTTCGTATATATCTCAGCTTAATTCGGAAAGAATGAATGGATCATAAAAACAATAAAAATTCAAATAAATTTACTCAATTTTCTTTCATAAAAGACATTATTTTCTTAATTATAAAACATTGAGAACAATGAAGGCATTTTTAAAGGGTAAAATTTATTATTATGTTCTCTTATAAAGTTAATTTATAATGAATTCAAGATCTTTAACCTATTTACATATAATTTGTTATCTTGGATAATATAGTTGCTTGGGTTATTTATTTTCTGTGAAATTTGAGTTGAAAGTAGTAGCATTTTTTTATAAAGAAAACAGTTGCTTGATTACAGTTTCCTCTGAAATTCTTTATCATTTTTCATTTATTTAATTTATACTCACAATTGTAATAATGATTTATTCATTCTGGCTTTTAGAAGAAGCATGACAACTTTGGTAAATTATCCTTACCATTTTTTCAATTAGATATTAGTAATTTATAACTTTTTAGATGATCATAGACATTGGCTATTAAGAGTTAATTTACTCAATACTTTAAATGCTTGTTGATAAAGTTTAATGATAAATGAAATCATAGGATAATATTTGATGAAAAAATCAGATTTAGTGTTGTATATACAAATGATTATTTTCTTAGATATTTAAAATTTAATTTTAAAATATTTTGATTTCTCTGTTTTGTGATTGGAATGATCTTTATCTTAATAAAGATGAAATAATTGATATATCAAATAACAATATGTGTGTAGAAAGTCCCATTATTACTATATGTAGACTTTGATGACAAACATTTTATATTATTGTAGAAATATAAGTATGATAATGTAATAAATATTCTAAAATTGAATTTTAGTACAGTAACATTTCAAATATTTTCTTAGTTGTATCACTGATTTTAGATAAAAACCAGGCATGAAATTTTCAGAAATAACTATTATCATACTAATATAATTAATTATTAAAACATTGGTCCATAACTTGATAAAGTACAATGATGTTTTCAAATGTAGCTTAATAAATATCTTAAATCAAATTTAGGACCTAATTTGAAATTTATCAAATAGGATTAAATTTATCAGATTTTTCTAGACATTATTTTTGGAAAATGCCTATAATTATTAAACACTATGGTACCAAGGCCATCGAAAGGAGGGGGAGTTTGGGCTTTTTCCTCAAGCTTGGAAAAAATTTATAGGGGTAAGAATCATCATGAGCCACTAAGTTAGTACAGTTGTCCCTTGATAATCCGACAGGTATGGGACCAAAGGTGTGTCAGATTACCAAAAGTGTCCAGATTACCTAAAATAATTACATATTTCGCATTGTTTTGCTAGCAGTAACTTACAATATTCTCTACTCCAACTGTTCGAACAGAACTGCTCACATAAAACACACGAAATGTGTGTCATCGTGTAAAAATTGGATGAAGAGATTCACATCGCGACATGCTTCTGTGCAAGCAGACACGTAACGG